TAATATTTTAAACCGTTTGATTTTTGTATTAAAGTTTTTTTAATTGATTGATGATTGATTCAATCAACTAATTTGTTGATTGTATTAACTTGATTCTTTAGATATTGAAAATTAAATAAATAACATTATGTTAATTTAAGCGTACAGAAACGTTGCTGTTGTTCCAGCAAAGATCTTATTTTAACTTTACCGAGTGCCTAGTAGGTAATTCGCAGATTACCTAGGTAATTTGAGAAATGAAATAATTTTAGCAGCTTTAACGGATCACCCTAGTTAATCTGCAGATTAGCTAGGTAATGTACACATTAACGGATTTCGAGCTTTAGCGGTAACATATATATAAATGATAAAATGATGGAACTAAAATTAAATCTTCCATTCTGTTATCAAAGTAGACATTGGGCTCAATTATTCTAGATATCTTTTTTGTCGTGATAATTTAAAAAATTATAGGCTTAAATATGTTTGAATTTATACATTTACATTTGTAAACCCCACAATTTCTGATACGTAAACACATTGTATTCGTTCGTCTTATTCTATTATTTCATAAATACTTTGAACTGTTTTGAATATAAAACTGACTTTTGTATTTAAATGCAGGATTTATACTGTTTATATTTATAGAAATTTCAAGTAAAAATGACATTCACCTATCAGTGATAAACAGATTCAAATATCTAGTGACAATAAAGTAATCTCAAAATACCACCAGAATGCCATTTACTAAATACTATTTAAATATCAAAAATATTTGGAAAATAAAACAAGTATAATTGTTGAAAGGTTATTTCAAAGAATATTTATACAAAATAATTTAATAGAGAACTGTTTTTATAATTACAGGTATACCTTGCCTTACATCGGTAATTGGTTCCAGGAGAACGACTTAAGTCGAAAAACGACGTAAGTCTAATTTACTTGTCTCCAAATCTACTTATCACTAGGCTAAACCATAAATTACCATTCCCGGTTCTGTATTTTATTTATTAATGCATTTTTAATAATATATGGTTAATAAAAGTCTATTTTAAGCTTACAAACAAATATATTTTAGTTTTAAATATAGTACAAAAAAATAATCTAAATTTACGAATGCATGTACTGTAAATACATTACATACTTGTATATATTTTAATATGATTTTATGTGCTTTAAACGTTTATCTAGTATATTACGACTTCAATATTTGTGGCGGACAGACGTAAAGTCGAATAAAATGACTTAAAGTTGATTTTTATTTTTCCATATACTTTTTTAACAAGCGACGTATAATCGGGAACGACGTAACTTGAAACGACGTAAGTCAAGGTATACCTGTACATATTTTAAAACCGAGCTTTACAGAAGAACGTTGCTTGACAATATTTACGTAAAAGCATTTTTAAACTCCATAATGAAACAAAACAAACGTATAAATTAATACAAATTTGAGCATTCCAACAAATCCTCATAAAAGATAACATATTTAAATTTTATTATCAGCATTACTGTATATATGTCATAATTACTTTCTTAAATAAATTTATTATATTAAAAATGTGTCAACATAATTACTAAACTTTTAAGATAATGCCAGGGATTTATATTGTAAATCATAAAACAATGCAATATATAATTTTTCATTTAAAAAAATTACATATTATGTTAAAGGTTAATGATAAGTGAGAGAGCATTTCATTTTAAAGATTTAAAATGAAAAGTTATCTCACTTATCACCAACCTTTAATAAAACATCTTATCTTTTTTCCAAATAATATTAGATATAAAAAATAAACTAGTAAATGATGTAGAATCTTATCTAAAAAATATTCCTGAAAAATTTATTCATTCTTCACACATACTAGACATTTTTTTAATTTTGCAATCCTGAAGATTTTTTTACAATTCTTTGAGATACAAAAA